CCGCCCGCCTCTCGGAACCGCAAATTAAAGGCGCGGCGCTGCGCGTCAGCCAGCTGCTGGTTGCTAGGTGGCAATGTTCCCCAGGGACCTCAGGGTAGGCTGGCCAGGCAACGGTTGTCATTCCTTCAAGAAATATCCACCTATTAAAACACATCAGGCGATGACTTGAAAGCAATAATTTATTATTCGAAGACAGTACCTCTCACATTTACGTTGTGCTTCATACAGGGAAATTCGGCGTCAGGCGATTGACAGCAAACGCAGTTCACTGTAATGGCCAGGGCCGTTAGTGGAGGTTTACAAGAGGCGATTAGATAGCGTCTCTCCTCATTCCAAAAATACATTTCGGTAGAATTTTGTGGGGGGAGCAGGAAGACACAAAGTCGGGGAAACCTCACTTGAAACTGCATGAATGTTTATTCTGAAACATCTCCGCCATTCCTATGTGTAGACGTGTTTATGTTAAGTTGATAGCATGGTGTGTTTACAATCTGTCACTTATTTGACTACGATTTATTGAACACTTACTATGTACATGAGGAATCTTGGTAGCCCAGCCGCTTAGATGCTGGCCTGCTCATGGAAAGAAAGCCGTTCTAAGTCATCCCGGGTCTCCAAAGATACCCAGACCTGGACGAATCCACATCCACGAAGGAGACTGGCCAGGAGAACCTGCTCGGTCACGTGGGCTGGAGGGCCCCTAATGACTACCACGATGACCGATGACCGAGCCCGTTTGAGGCTGTTAGATATTATCAGTGAGAAAACCAGACAGAAATCCCTGCCCTGTTGAACCCAGATAAGGAACACTGGTGGTGCTGTCGAGTAAGCGTTGCACTATTAATCGTAAGATAGGAGGTTCGAACCCACCAGTTACTCTGTTGGAGAAAGATGAGGTTGTCTACTCCCATAAATATTTACCTCCTCTGGGATGGACTCTGGCAGTGTGTGTGTGTGTGTGTGTGTGCACACCGGCTTTCTTTAAGGTTGGGGGAACAAGGTGAAGAGGAGGAGAGAAATACAGCTAACTGAAACAGTATAGTACTGGTTCTCAATCTTCAAAATGCCTCGACCCTTTTTAATACAGTTCCTCATGTTGTGGTGACCCCCACCATAAAATTATTTTCGTTGATACTTCATAACTGTAATTTTGCTACTGTTATGAATTGTCATTGTAAATATCTGATATTCACGATGTATTTTCATTGTTACAAATTGAACATAATTAGAGCATAATGATTAATCACAAAACAATATGTAATTATATATTGTGAAATATTTATTTCTAATGACAAATAAATGAGATTTTGTCTTAAAGCCTGGTGTAGCATGGGTAGCAGTCTTCAAGCCAGTTATGCATTATGTGGGTGTATCTGCATGTGGGCGGACCCGCCTGGAGACGGATGGAGGAGTCTTGGTTCCTAAGACCATCGGAAATGGGTGTTTTCCAATGGTCTTAGGTGACCCCTGTGAAAAAGTTGTTCATCTCCCAAAGGGGTCGCGACCCACAGGTTGAGAACCGCTGCTATATAACATACTATGGGGGAAAAAAAACAGCAAGTAAAGGAGATGAGGGACAGGTTGCAATTTTCAACCAGATACTTAAACAAGATCTCATGTTGAAGATGAAAAATTAAGTAAGGGACCAGCCAGGGAGAAGGTGAGATCTGCGTCTTAGTTTACAAAAGCAATGCTATAAATAGAGAGCCAGAGGAAGCACACTGTAGAAGTCAAGAGCGTAAGGTTCTGGGGTGGAAATTCTGCACTTGAATCTTGGCTCTACCTTGTCAAGACCATAGTAGTACCCATCTCCCCACAGCAAGTGAGACAACAAACCCACAACAGACTAGTGCACGCCTCACAGCAATGTGGTTGACAAGATAGCTCTTACTATCATGAATCCTCACCAGACCAAGAAAGAACATCCGTAAAACGTGGAGGGCCCACTTCCCCCAGTTCACTTTCCATCTCAGCTCAATCTCTAGGTTGCACACACATTCACATTTCTCTCCCTCTCACGGTATATCCTGAGCATAGCTCTAACGACTTTACTAGTCTCCAAATAGTACTTCAATGGATGCATCGAATAAATGTATTAGTACTTGGTTTTCTCTGCTCCCAGTTCTTCATTTGGAATGGTGCTGCTTATATCATAGGTAAACACTGGGCGGGCGTATTTCTTATTCATTCCTTAGGATTACCACACAAAACTAAAAACCAGCTTGTGGATTCTGACTCCAAGGGACTGTTGGAGTAGGACTGCTCCGGAGGGCTTCCAAGGATGGAAACCTTCCTGACAGCACACTGCCACAGTGGGCTTCCTCAGAGCACCTGGTGGGCTTGAACCGCTGACTCCTCTGTTAGCAGCCAGGACACTTAACCACTGTGCCGCCGCACTCCACCTCCATAGGACAGAATCCTGTAAGTAAAATCACTAGGTCACAGGGAACCTTTTTTTTTTTTTAAGACTCTTAAAACATATTGTTGAATCGCTTCCAGCAAAGTTCCAACGCCATGGAAGCTGCTTGTCTTTTTCTCACCGGCAGTAGTTTTCTGTTTTTGTTTTTTTTTCTCCTTTTAATTTGCCAATTTGAAAGGCATTAAAAAAAACAACCCAGAATTGTATCTTACCCTAATTTACATTTGTTTTATTACTAGTGATGTTAAACTTTCCCTGTTCTACTAATTGTATATTTGGGTCTGACCTTGGGGGCATTAGCCAGTGTATTTCTTCACCCATTGTTAAATGTTTCTTATTGGTTTATAGCAATCCAACTTGTATTACATCTGTCCTAAATATTTTTCAGTTTTTCATTAAAAACACCCAACACATTTTCTGATAAGACTTTCATTTCTAGACCACTAGATTTTAATTGTAAATATTATATCCTTTTTGATGGAAAACGTGAATACAAAATAAGAAGGTACCCCTTGCATTTAAAAGAGAAATTTTAGGATCACTTTACCCAGGAATAGGAGTCTGGTGGTGGCAGAGTGGGCTACTCACTGAGCTGCTAGTCACCACAAGGTGAGTGGTTCGAACCACCAGCCACACCACTGGAGAATGATGAGCTGTCCACTCCCAAAATGATTGAAAGGTTCACAAACCCAAGGAGGCAGTTCTGTCCTGTCCTATAGACTCAATGGCAGTGAGTTTGGTTGGGTGTGCCTTGTAGTATTATGCAACCTGTCTCAGAATGAGAGCAATGCGCTTAGAGAAGGTTTTGTGTATTTAACATGTGGTGATACTGGAATGAACGATTGTTTCTATCTAAATAAGCTCCTTCTTTCATGCCCAGCACAAGTCCCACCCCTGTAAAGTTTTCTGCAATGGTCCCAGATATGCCACCTTCCTCCCTGGCCTTCTGTCTATGATTTAACTAAACAATGACATTGCGTATCTGTGGGTGCAAAGCAATGAAGCAGGTGCTCTGGGGAGAAAACCCAGTTTACTTTTTAGGAGCTTACCACCTAGTGGAGGAGAGGAAACCACACAATTAATTACCAGTATGTCACACAGTGTGGGGAACAGAAGGATTTCTCTTAAGTTGTCTCCCCAAAATATATACCAGACTTAGCTGCTTGAGAATGACTGTTCTTTAGGCAGCGAAAGTAGGTCAGAGATTATTCTCCTTAACATCAGCCATCATAGTGGCTAGACTATTAGTCTGACTCACCCTAAATAAGGCCCATTCCTTTCTGTTATTGTTCCCTCGAAGCAGTGCCCATAGGCAAGCCTGGGACCACTCTAAGATGACTAAGCTTAGGCTACTATCTTGCCACACATGCCCCCCTATTCCCTCCTCTTACTATTGCACATTCACCCCTAGGTCATCCCCCTCCTATTGCTTGTATTGCCTATGTTACAACCCCTCTCTATGATGTAGGTTGTTATCTGCTATCAGGGGGCTTGCATGTCTCCCAGGATAGTAATTGCCTGCTTTATTGTATGAGACACCAGAATGATCAAACTTATTCTAGAATGAATTGTATTGCCCCTTTCTGGTGATGTATGATGCTGTAATCAGATCCCCCTAAAGTGATATAATGCGTGGTTATCAATAAATAAGGAGGCTCCCTGGTTCTCGGGAGGGTGGCTGGAGAAGGTGATTAAGGAGGACGAAGCAGCGGCTTCTTCTCTGACGGCTAAGCCCCCTCCACGAGGACCATCAAGCTGGGCTGAGGTGAGCTATGCTATCATGAATTGCGTCTGACTCCATTACTTGACTCTGTCCTTTAACTCTCATGCTCTCTATGACTTTACTATAACCTCTACTTATTATCGCTGTACAATTGCGCCTACCGAAACTGTGATGTTTTGTGGGGTTCCCTCTTCCCCTTAACCCCACAACACAGCAAAATGAAATGTATGTTGCAGGCACTTCCCTTAGGCCTGCTTTCAACCTGGTAACCAAGGAAGTAGTTCAGAGGCAGCAGGAGTTGAAGGACTGTTGCCCTGGTGGGCTGTGGTACCTGGTGAGCAAAGGCTGGCAAGTGGGGCCTGGAGGCTGCATTCAGAGTTAAGGACTCAGCGTGGTCTGGTGTGTTTGCAGGAGCTCTGA